CCTATATATATATATATATATATATATATATATATATATATATATATATATATATATATATATATATATATATATATATATATATATATATATATATATATATATATAACACCTTACGGTGAGATGACATGCTTCGATCAGATGACGCAAAGCTCACCACACTACATTGCAAAGCTTACCAAAGACAGCTACAAAGCTCACCAAACTATAAGGCACAGCTCACCATATTTTTTCAAGACTTTGACTAGATTTTGACTGTTGACTGCCAGCATTGACCGCCGCCTGCTGCCAGTCGCCGCCGCCGGATTCCGGCCACCACCGCCGCTGCTCCGCTACCACCACCGGTCACCGTTGCTCTGCCGCCTGCCACTGCTGTTGACCGGTGGTTGACCGGTTTTAGCTATTTTATTTTTATTTAATTTTTAAATTTTCAAAATTTTAAAAAAGTGAGTTTTGGGGTTCAGAGTGGTGAACTTTGCTTTATTTCCCAATAAGCTTTGCATTGTCCATTGGTGAGCTTTGCGTCATCTCACACACCAGTGAGATGACACCTTATTTAAAAATATGTCTCATGACAATCACAATTCATTATTTTATATCTTTACTATAATAATTTAAATCCACGAATCCATCATGACTGTCTCGCCCATCTACCGTCAGGACTATGTCACTTCATTCTTTTTGTTTACCTGCGTGTAGCAAATAAAACATACTACACGCTCAACGGTAAAGCTAAGTAAGCATATGTAATGCGTCGAACATCCATATAAACTGAATCTCAATTCATAATCAAATCATTTGATATCATGCACATAATATACAATTCAAGCATTCATCTTTCATGATATTCACAATATTTTAATTCAAGACATTTCATGATATAAACAATATTCATTATTCAATATTTCATTAGTGCTCTTAAATTGTTCTTAATCTAAGGCCAAGTCAATCTCTTAAACTATTCCTAGTCTAAGGCAATATTCCTAACCGGGCTCTTAAACTATAAATAGTTTAAGGCAGAACACAAGAATTGATGATCCAGCCTATGAGTCTTGTGGATCACGTACCAACCGAATAGTGAACTATTGGGCAGGTGATATCCGATTTGGATCCCGTACATACGTTTTAACCCCGAATTTCTGAAGTGGTCACATAGGTATATCTTAGAGTTCTTCTAGATAACCTTAATAGTCACCATCAATTTCCAAATGGATATATCTTAGAGTTCTGCTAGATATCTTTAACAATACACATCATTTTCATAATCATCAATATGTACATTTTTAGTCATGATTTAATCATTCATAATTATTACTTTAATCAGAATATTAAAGTTTAATCATCATTATCAGCAATCAATAATATTTATCATAATCATCAATCAATAATAATCATTAATAATAAATAGTGGCCTAGCCTCGAGTGTTAACGCCTTAGCTTACCATCATACACCACATAAGATCTTATTTGTCAAAAACATCATTTTGATTTCAAGAAATCATCTTTATATTGATAATAATTGTTTGGTATCAAAAATAGGATTTAATATTTCAAAAATAAAGCTTCTAGAAAAATTTTGGGTCAGATAGTACCCTTCACGGTACCTTGGTACCGCCAAGACTATACGGGGTACCATTTTGCATCAAGTACCGCCAGAGAAGATTATTTTCAGCGGCGGAGATAGTAGCTAGCCTACCGTTCCGACGGTATGGCCTACCGTGCCGACGGTATCAAGGTACCTTCTAAACGGTAGCTGGTTACCGTTTTGGCGCGTAGTCCTTGAACAGTGTCATCTTCAATCTTGGGCCAATTTTCGAAAATGTCCTTTTTAGTCACCAAACTTCAATTAAACTATATAGAAATATTCTCCAAGGTTTATAGATCATTTTGGTATCATTAGTTCGTAGTTTTAACAATAATTTCAAGGTTTATGATTCTTGGTTTTTCAAACATGTCAAAAACCAAACTCAACCAAATGACCGTTTATGAACATAGAAACGATCTATACGAACATTCTAGTGACTAGATATATCTACGGGCTTACCTCGAGCTTAAATGGAGGTTTTGAGAATTTTCTAGCGAAACTTCCGGCGACTATAACTCCCAACTCCAACAACCTCTCACCAAATTGACAGCACCACCGCGTTCTCCACACTCAAGGCTAACACTCAGAACAAATTCGAAGTAGGTCACCTGAAGAATGGATTGCTGTTTCTGCCCTCGTCCTTTACTTTCCAGTAAGAAACGCGGCATCTTAGAATAGCGCTATTTAAAGTGAGTTTTAAACTATTTAAACTATAAGGAAGGAATCTATTGGAAAGCTTTCCCTCTTTTCAAAGAATACAGGAAGGGAATCTTTCTCAAAGTAAAGAGGGACTTTAGGCAATCAGGTTATAGAGGCTGGTTTACAGGCTAGACAGCAAGTATCTTTTACATAGGGTATGCCATTTCTATTCGATCTCCGGAAATGGTGAAGAAATGAGAGCGAATGGTCCTCATTATATAGTGAAGGAGAGGAGGAAGAAGATGAAATTTGCGTCACCTTCCTTGTTTGAGCAGCTAGTGGAGCAAACAACGATAACTTCGTATTTCAAACGCAAGTCCTTGATTGAGACTAATTTCGTCCCAGTCAGAGTACACTTTTTAGTCTAACTTTCTCTGAATTAAAATCTGATTGAACCGTTAAAGTCAGATAGTCAAACTCTACAAACGATATAAATTTTAATTATTTATTGACAAACTTTATAAATTACTTATTTTTGCGTCCTTCTTAGTAATTAATTTATTTTCAATTAATTAATTTTGATATGCCTATTTTCGGGGCATTACACATTGGGATGTGGCAATCCATGTTTTGCGATATATCAAAGCACGCCCTGCAAGGACTCTTTCTTTCGGCTAAGAGTTCTCTCCAATTGATTGGTTATTGTGACCTTGATTGGGCTAGTTGACCTTTGACTCGCCGTTCTGTATCTGGTTATCTCATACAACTAGGAGACTCTCATATCTCTTGGCGCACAAAAAAACAGAAAACTGTGTCTCGTTCCTCTGCTGAAGTTGAATATCGTGCTATGGCTACTGTAGTTTGCGAATTAAAATGGCTTCGGTCCCTTCTTCGATCTCTCGGTGTGCAGACTACTTTGCCCATGACTCTGTTCTGTGATAATCAAGCGCCTATGCATATCTCTGCCAATCCAATTTTTCATGAACACACAGAATACATTGAAATTGATTGTCATTTCATTCAAGACGAAATACAGCGAGGTATTCTTCACACGGCTTTTGTTCCTTCTGCTTATCAACCGGCAGACATTTTCACTAACCCACTTGGGGCTGCTTCGTTTACACATTTACTATCCAAGCTGGGTATGCATAACCCCTGTGGTCCGTCTTGATGGGGGGGGGGGGG